GGCGGCCTGATGGCGTCACGGCGGCCCGCCCCGGCACGGCAACGTCACGGAGGAGAGGACTGGCTGGGGGAGCCTGCGGTAGGTTTAGGCGATGGCGGAGGGCCCCCCGCCCCGTTTCCGTGCGGGGATGGCAACAGGCTCCATTTCGTTGCAAAAGAGAGAATGTCGAGGCAGGTGACGGCAGCAGGAACAACCACGCCAGCACCCCAGCGTCCTCGCTGCGCGATGTAACGCGTGCCACGGCGCAGGGAGCGACGCCTCAACAGAGCGCGCTACCGGCAGGCAAACGACAGGAGAGGAAAGAGATGGCAGTAGCTGGAGTGAAGGAGCGATGTCCCCGCAGGAAAATACTCTGGAAGTGTCTTACCCCCTCGGAGGAAGCCCGGAGCTGACGGCTGTCCTTGGAGCGCCGGCGGGGCGCCCCTCTCTGCAGCGCGGAGGCCGCGGCAGATGGCTGGCGTGGCCCTCCCAAACCAGACCGCCTGCCTGGGGCTGGCTGGCAAGGCGGGACAGCAAACACGGCAGCTCCAGCCTGTCCAGCCCTGACTTCTGGGCCTTGCCCTTCCAGCTCTAGAAAGTCAGGGTGGTTTTTTTTCTCCCCCTTCTGAAACACCCCATCTCCAGTGACTCACCACCAGCCTTAGGTGAAGACCTGAAGCAATTGAAAGAGATGAGCCACGAGCCACGTTGTTGTGAGCAACATCTTTACATGATACTTTACAGAGAGGGCAGCACTCAGCAAATAACATCTTTCAGCCCGTTCCCGTTACAGAGCAGCAATTCCCCACGGAGAGGGCTCTCCATTTAAAAAAGATAATTGGAAACCTCCTGCAGCACGTTGCTTATGCAAGGCAGGATGGGCAGGAGAGCCAGTTGCTCCACTACTTTTAACTGCTCTTAAACCAGAGGCAGCACCTCAGCTCCAGCAGCCCCTGTGGGGGTGCACCTGTCCCCTCCACCCCCCAACAGTCTGGGGGAGCACGGAGCATTTGGCTGACTGAAATCCTGGGGTGCTCTCACCACCTGGCTGCTCCAGCCTCTGCTCCGAGGTCCCACCGGTACGATCTATCCAGGAAGCCCATGGCTTCTTTCTTAGGAGAAATCTAAGAATTAAAATAAACCCCATGCCATTTTGTAATAACATTAAATAAAAGTGATTTGGGTGCAGCCCCACCGAGTCACTCGATGCCCAGCTCTGCAGGCAGGGCACATCACAAAGCAGAGGTGGCGGCAGCAAGAAAAGTCCTTTTCTTTTTCCTGAGAGAGCAATATTAAGGGGCCAGCAGCAAGCAGAAGCTGCAAATACAACAGGCTTTGATTTCTAACTTCGATTTACAAAAATCTCCTGTTATGAACAGTCTGGGCTCGCCAGAGCCTGGTGCCACCCTGCAGGTGTCTGCAGCAGTGGCTCTTGCCCACGGGCGGTGTTGGCAGGGCCGAGACAGGGAAGCCAGGCGCTCCTCCCCAACCTTGCTACTGCTTGGGCATGGTGAAGTCCCACGCCGTCTCCTGGGCGCATTTCCACATCGCCCGCATGAGTCGCGTGAAGCCCATGTCCTTGGGCTTCTCCAAGCCTCTCATAAGGCGCTGCTTCATTATGGCAACAAACTCCTTGTTGCTCAGCTCGCCATTCCCTGCAAGAAGAACAAAAAAGATGTTAGAAACACTAAAACCCACCAACCACCTCCTCCCTGCATGCACTAACTTTAAAGGGCAGCAGCCACACGTGACATTTCTCGCAGAGACTGAAGTCACCTTTGAGTTCAACATACGAAAAGCTGCAGCCTGAACTGGG